GTTCCCATATTAATTTCTTGATATCTACAGAGAGCCATGGGGCACAGTTTTTCCTTATTCTTCTTTGTTTGACTGGAGCATGCTTATCAGCAACATCAAGAAATAGTTTTTTCCAAATTTGCCAAGCATTTATAGGATCATCTAAGGAAACTATGTACTGCCAAGGAATAGCATCAATGTCATGCTTGAATGAAGTTTCATCAAAATTTTTATAACTGCGGGATTTGATAGTTATAGGCTTAGATTTAACACTGGAGTGTTTTCTGATAGCATAAATTAAATTATGGTCGCTGATACCTAGAACTATAACGCCCGCAGAAGTAAAGTTGTTCGGTTCATTAGTAAGAAAGAGATCGATTAACGTGGATGAGCTATTTGTAACTCTAGTTGACTCCTTAATAAGTTGAGTATATTGATATGACTCACTTAGTTCGAGTAAATGTTTAGTATTATTATCTGCAATAGATGCACTCATGTTGCAATTTAAATCACCAATGATATTATTTTCAATACCAAGGAACTCGATTTTATCTAAAATTACCTGAAGTTTGTCAAAGAGATCCTTGCAAGAATTAGGAGGTCTGTACCACGTTGATATTAGAAATGGTTTAACTTTAGGTTTACTGATCTCAACGCACATAAACTCAAGGGCTTCATCATGAAGATCATTTCTGAGATTAAAATTAATTGAATTTCGGATATACATAGCTACACCGCCTCCGTGTCGTGTTCGATCGTTCCTAACTAAAGTATATTTATCAATTGATATTTCAGAATTACTAATAGTTTCATCAAGACGAGTTTCGTTTAAGACCAGTATATCTAAATATTGATGTTGCATGTTTAATCTTAATTCATCGATATGCTCGGGTAAACTTGCAATGTTTAGAAAAGCAATTTTGAAGCCTCTGTGTTTAGGTAAGTTGAAATCAGTTTGTTTGTGCGTATTAGAATCGCTTTTATCAACATTAGAAAAGGTTTGGTTAGACATACCCGTCGCTACTAATCAATAATTAATAATATAAGAAGAGATTGATTTAGCAATAATGGCAGTACCTTTCTTGTTCAAGTGGAGTCCTTTTGAACTCAGACAGGTTGCATTAATGGCTTTATGGTTAATATAGCCACATTTATTTTGGTCGCCATACTTTTTCACGATGTCATTGACTTGATTAGCTTTGATTAGTAGATTTGACTTGTCCGTTCGAGGTAAAATTTCAGATATAGTAATGCTTGTTTGAGGGGAGTCCTGATTTATCTAGATTCCCAAGTTGATAATTCCCTGTGCTATTTGATCTGGCGAGGCACTTTTATTTAGATCGTTTGTTCCAACATGGAGAATTATGTTCTCGGGTTCTTTTCGAACTACAGGTTTCAAGTAGTCTTCCATATCAGTACAGTTGGCTCCTGCAAAACTTTTGACTACAACGTGATTATTGTCATCTGAAAGTCGCCAGCCTTGAAGATTTTTAATAATTGAGTCCCCGAGTACGGCAGTGACTTTTTTCTTGGGTGACTGACTTTTATCGCTGCGTTGAGCATTTGAATTTTGCTTTGATGACTGCTGCTCGACCCGATTTATTTCATTATCTTTCTGAGATTTAGGCTTGGCTTTTACTTTACCAGACTTAGATCTTTTTTGCATTGTTGGGCAGACTTTGTTATCAGCATTAGGCTGGTCATCGGGAATAAGGATAATTTCATCAGCTGTATGACTTAAGCAATTACCAACATCTCTCTCAGCTATTGAACTCGGTGATTCATCATTTGCATGGTTATTGTTATCAACTACAATGGGCGGATCTTGTTGTTTGAAGCGAGCTTCATGGGCTTGATGAAAATCTGTATATAAGATCTTCAATGTCGTAGTTAAGCTAGCTTTTTCATGTTCGAGATCTTTAACTTTCGTATTCAAATCAGATAAAGCAAATTTGGCCGTATAAAGGCTATCCTTTAAGGCTTCGTTTTCTACTTTAAGACTTGCGTTCTCTTGTCTTAATATATTCATACCTTCAACTTCATTGTTTAAGCAGTATTTTTTTAGATTGTTTAAATCATTAGCAAGACTTAGCGTTTTGTCCAAAAATTTTGACTCCAGGGTTTTAAGTTGATTCTCGATGCTAGCAAAATTATCTTCATAGGACTTGTCATCATTATTAGATCGTGCAGAATATTCGGTTTGGTTTTCGGTAGGTGCGGCAAGATGAACACTCGGTTTTTCTTTACCGTTATTAGTCGGCAGGGTCTGATGAATTTCAACAATGGCGGCTTGGTTTTCTTCGGCTTTCTTGCACAATGATTGAAGTGTCTGAGATAGTTCACTTACCTCAGTCGAACTTCCAGATAACGTTATCCATTTGTTGGTCTTACCATGCCATTTTAGGACTAGTGTATCACTAGTAAATGTTTTAACTTCGCCACCAGGTGATGACCATCTTCCCGTAAGTTTTAAATCGCATGACACAAAAACCTTTAAATCAGTTATTGTGCTGTCCCAGTAGAACTTTTCACCAGTAGGTCACAATAAGCCATCGCTAATTCACTCAAAGCAAATCGTTTGAAAATGGAGAAAATCGTTTGAAAACTTTCACGTCACTTTTGCCGTAACAATTTGAGCACGCGGTTTCTAAACGCGGAGCGAGGTGAAAACGGCGGAGCGCTTGATAGCTTCGTGTGAACACAAACGTGTAAACTTGAATGCTTTTCAGTTAAATTTCTTGGGTCTATTTGAAATATTTTGGGTTTACACGAGTGCTAATTCAATTTGTAAACAAACTGTAATGGCGGTAGTATGAACACACATAAATTCTGCCCGCATTAGTTCGCTCGTGCGTAGTGTGAACGTAGTCTAATTTTCGGTGACGTTTTCGAATGGCGAGGCAGCCTTTAGAAAAATTTAGAAATAGTGGATGTCCGAAGGGGAGGGGGGTAATTTTGGGCTTGGATGTCCGGAGAGGGGGGGAGGATGAACCATTCAAGGATGTCCGAAGGGGGGGAGGGGGTTATTTTCGATTTCCTCCGTAGGGGGTATGGATCTTTTCTGGAATGACCCAATATGTCTGTGCGTAAAATATGAGTATTTTTGTTTGTAAATTGCGTTTTCATTTTCATTTTCCGGATAGCAAACACCTTCGTGGCTTCGTATGCCATGAAATGTTCGGAAATTTCTTTCGTCATTCGGAAATTGTTGGCCCACCAACTATGCATGCTTAGCTACGTCCCTGAGGCAAACGTAACCTTGATGTCAATGATGTGTTGCAGAAAACCTACGCACATGCACAGACAAATAACGATAACGATACTGCTATAGGACGCTAATACACAGAGCCATATCATTACAGGGGCGGATTCAGATAGGTTTGACAGGTTTATATAAACCTGTCAGATTTTTCAAAGAGAGAAAAAACCTCCATGTATATAACTAATTTAATTAAAGAATATTCTGTTTCATAAAATTGATGTTGTCTAATCTATCACGCCACTTAATAAACACTGTTGTTGAAATTTGATTATGGATTACCGAGCGTATAATTAAGGACTTATCGCCCTGCATGGTTTCCTCTTACGAAATGTTGTAATACTAGACTAATAATCTGCGAATATATCGTCGTGGGTCGTGGACTTGTAAACATCACATGAATCACACATAACCGCCCGCAATTATCAGTAAACCGGTGGTCAGAGTTTTCTCCATGAGAGTAAACCGGTCGATACGCCATTCGATTGGCTAAACGGCTGCGCTCCGGCGGATGTAAACCGGTCACAAACCTGTGAGTCGAGCAGTATTTAGAGAAAACTGGGCATGACAGAAAACTGGGCATGACAGTTAACAGAACTCGAGGACGCGCGAAATATGTTTATAATTTTGCGTGACTGAATCTTTGTGTTGGCGATAGAAGCATTTACATGGATTTCTTGTTCATTTTGAAGGTTTGTTTAGAAGTATATAGTAACGGTAAGCTATTTCTACTTACTGTATAGTAAATATCGATTCATCAACAAGCGTATCGATGTTTATACGTGTAACTACAGTCTATACTCATGATAGGGCGAAATATGATAATGTACGTATAATCTTGCGTGACAGAATCATTGCGTTGGCGAGAGAGAATCAGGAAATGATTGTGATTATTTGTGAAGCTTTATTCACGCTCTTGCAGTTTGGTTTCTAGTTCATTGTTAAGTTGGTTTGAAAGCGTATAGATCTAAAATTACAACTATGTTTATATTAAAAGCATCTCTACTTGTACTTATAATAACTGTTGATGCGTCAGCAATTCAGTTGCCAATCCTATATTTTCAGCACTAGCTAAACTACTAATAGGTTTCCGAAAAGGTTCAATTCATCGTTTGAGCTGCGTGTTAGTCCAAAATTCTCTTAAAAGATATATTTTCTAATCATTAAATTCATTTAAAAAGTGACGCCAGAACGCAGGAAATGCTGTTTCAGAGGCCCAAATTTTAAAAATTTCCCGGGGGAGCATGCCCCCGGACCCCCCTAGTGGTTGTGTGGACCTAGTAAACCGGTCACCCAAAACGCTGAATCCGCCCCTGCATTACTAAGTACGGACGATAGAAATCTGATATAGAACTAGAGAATATAAGTAACATCCTATAGACCCTTTGCACTGACGTCACAAATCCTTTGAGTGTCCTCCAGATGCTACCTAACAATATCGGTTCGGGTTCAACAACCACATACAGCGAAAAAATTAACCATTTTAACACAAAATTATTATAAACTTGTATAAAATTTGCTTTCTTTACAAAAGTTATATTATGCGTAGATTGCTAATTTGTCCTCCAGATGCATCGTTACTGGCGCTGTGACGTCAAGTGCAATGGGTCTATAGCTGCAAGTGGATATCCAATGAGATTAGTAGACCGGTCAGAGAACGTTTCTGCATTATATAATTAATTATGAATATTCCTAACCGCGCTTCGGCCGTATTTTTACGATTGTAAATAACATATTTTTTATATAAATGACATATTTTCTGATACATCGTCCAAATTTTCTTGATTTTTGTTAGCATTTACCCGAATTTCCATGGTTTTCTATAGTTATGTGGGAGAAGTTGCCCCCATCTGTCCCAAACATCTATAAGTTGCCTTTTTTCACAGCCACGTATTTACACGGGGAGTTTATATGTTTCCAAATTTTATATAAGTACTAATTATCTCAACAAAAACACATTAAATCATCTAAAAGGATACTTAAACAAGCTAAGGCAGAGATCTGAAGATTAGGTATCCAGATAATTAGTCTAAATATTTTTCGTTAAATATCCTTCGTAAATGTCAGTATGTGTACCTGGGTAACACGGTGCTATAGCAACCTACATATATGAATACCAATTTTGATCGCGCGTATATAAGAAGGCACGTGCAGGTGTCAGATGCTACCACGCGTGAAGCTAGAGGTAGCTAGCGAAGCAAGATTTTTAATTTGGTGGAGCAAAATTATATCATTAATCTCTGCCAGTATGACATTGTTTACGAACAGTTCGGAATGCCAATACTGCATTTAAGGAACACTCGAAAGTATTTAATTTTTATATTGTTTTTAATATATATATATATATATATTTATATATATATATATATATATATATATATATATATATATATATATATATATATATATATATATATATATATATATATAATTCGTCCATCACTTACGATGATGACCACTAGCCCTGTTTGGTTTCTACCTATTGTGCGTTTCGCACGTGGCTGATCAGACCAATTGTTGCCCCAAACGATCTCCCACAGACCTGACATGTGCACAGATTAGTGATGGTGCCATCTGCTGAACGTTCTTTCCCGAGACGCCTTTTCATTTCTGCTTCTGCAGAGCGAATAGCTTTTAGCTTCTGCTTCTTTGCGTCCTTATGGATGCATGCATGCACGCCATGTTTCTTTCATCTTTGTAATGGCTTTGAGGCGACGCAGGTTGAATTACCATCTGTTCGGTATCTTAATTTGATTCCAGGATAGCTGTGAATAACATGCTAAAAAGATTGGAGTTAATTAGGACACATCCCTGTTTTACTCCATTTGTGACGGGAACTGATTGGGAATTCTCACCGTCCTCGGTCACTGTGGCGGTCATTTCCTCATTAACCTGAGGCATCATGGTGATGAATCCATCTAGACAGCCAAATATTGATAGTAGTACTTGACCACCTTCTCTACATATCTCTGCTGTGATATTTTCAGAACCAGGGACCTTTCCTAAGGCGAGCTTTTCTATAGTCTTTTGCACTTCCTGCTGTGTTGGGGGAAGATCCATTGTGTGATTGACCTGTATTTGTTGTAATCTTTCAATGGCCTCATTTTTTATTTCAGAAAGTCTATTGAGTACTGAAAGTGAAAACTTTCAGCTGCTTCGTGTCAGCAAGATAGTAACCATATGGCCTAAGCCGCCTGTGTGCGGATCCGGTCTCCAGTGCATCCACACTTGCTGCTTCGTCGCTCGCCCGTCGCCACAAGGCTTTTGGGGTTGTGATCGACTTGCGCATGACTTGGGTTAAAGTGAGGAAGAGTTGCGCAGCGTCATCCTCACTCTCTTGTTCTGAGTCACCTGGAACCACTAGCGGGACACAGTGTCAAGACGACTTGCATGAGATGAAACAGAGTGCAGAGGGTGCCATCAGTGAAGTTTGTTACACCTAGCCCTAAGCACCCCACAGTGCTTTGCTGTCATCGCCTTTCTCTCCGTTGAGTGACCAGCTTGTGGTTTCTTCTATGCACAGTCTACTGATTCGAGACTTTTTTCCACGTTGTAGTTCCTTCCCCTAGATGGATTGCCGACCCACGCCAACTATTTAACCCATAGTTTGGTCCCTGGTCAGGTATGATATCACTCCCGGACAGAGGGAACTTGGGAGTAATGATGACTAAGAGGTCGCTCTATTCTCCCCAAACCCTCATAATTATGCCCATTCCAGAGTTTATCACCGACTGTAGTTTAACGTCATACTCAGGACATGTATGATTATTATGGGACGGACGCTTTTACAGGGCAAGTAAGGATAGCTGTTTCTGCATCATGTTTTGTAAATTGATTTTGTCAGTGACTGAAGCTTCGATCCCGTGTAAATATTCAGAAATATAATAATAATGATAATAATAATAATAATAATAATAATAATAATAATAATAATAATAATAATAATAATAGTAATAAAAATAATAAAAATTATTATTATGTTCACAACAAGAGTTGTAGCTGTATTGCATTTGTACATGCCAATATCACGATACGAGGCGGAACGTAAATATATAGTTCAGGATCCGTCACAGGTCGTAAGAGTTAACGTCCACCGAAGCACGAGAACGAACGAATATGCAAGTATGTAAATTGTTTCATTGAAATCGCGAAAGCTGATTGGTTTGCATATTAAAACATGTACGAATAGACCAAAGTAAACGAACGAGTGAACGAATGAGTGAACGAATGACGAGTTAGTAACTATGGGAGATACGTTACAACCCATTCGTTACGACCTACTTACTACAAAACGGACATGTCCTGGTACGCTTTGTCAAGTTCAAACTCAAATTTCTTGCCGGTTTTTCTGTCACCGTTTATAGGTTAACTCTATGACATTCCTTGTACTGCGTATCATCATTATTAATCGTCGTTGGTTGTCTATGACGATGATCATACATAAACAGCTACGAATTGCTACGAATTAAACATTCTTAACAATGTTTCCCATTCGAATGAATGCAAATGATTCCTATGTGCGTGCCAAACATTCATACATACAAATATTCATGTCAATGTGCTAAACAACTAGTGAACATATTAAGTAAAATGTTGTTTAGGCCAGCGCTTTGATTGTTTGAAACGCCCTGGAGGATAGAGAACACATAACATAACCTGGCTGAAACAAAACACACAATGTGGGCTGTCTTGACTGTATAGCACTGAGTATAGAATTCGTTGTCTGTGCATATTATGCATGCCTTTCAAACTTAGCGTTATAACGTACGCGTAAACCATAGTCCATAGTTTCAATAATGCTTCCAAGACAAGTAAGACGTATAGGCGAGGTGGAACGAGCCGTGATTCATGAGCGGTATATGGAGATCGGTCCGATCTGGGACATGATAGCGAACGATATCGTGAGGCATGAGAGATTTCGTGAGATTCCTGCCAATGTGCAGGAGCTCTATGCTAATGTTGGAAATCGACGTGCAGCAAGAAGACTTCGCGATTTTATTGCAAGAGAACAAAGAGAGTAAATACGGCAGCATGTCGTGCACCAGTTGACGAAACGATTCCACGTTCTCGCTTGTCATCGACCAAAACAAATGCTCACACCTTTCTAATTCGCTGCAGAAATCTCTTCTCGGGAAATGTGAGCCAACGAAGTCGGGGTTTAGAATTTGTTCAGTGCGAGCTCTTTGTAAAATGGACTGAGCGCACGTTGCTATTAAACTGAGCAGCGCATAGAGCTGCCTGATACAGGCAAATAAAGCATTCAATTCATCTTCGTCAATTATTTCTCTCTGATCTGTTGCCTCTTCTATGGCCGCATGGATTACATGTATATAAATTGAATATATTGCGTGAACAGCATTCTGAAGATTTACGAGTACTATATTTATGACCTCAACGTCGTCTGCCATATTTCGTTTTACCTCCTCAACAAACAGAAGCTCAAATCACTTTAATTAATCACACATGCATGCGCATACGAAATTGCATTTAGTTTAACAACAGTGCACTCTTTCAAAATTTGAATCTGAAAATGTGGACTTTTTTCTATACAATCTGTACGTACTCATGCAGCAAATTGCTTCATACGAATAGAAATATTTACACAGCTGATCACAAAGAATTTTAACACGATAGCTCAACTAACGAAACGAATATGCTAATTAAATTTGTCTCAGCCAATTGAAACCGTTCAGTTGAACGAATGTGGACGGTACAGTCGTTCAGTTAATGAGGCTATTCGTTCGTTCTCGTGCTTCGGTGGACGTTAACTATGACAACCATACAACCATAGTCACGACACGGAGCGTAAATCTAGTCAACGATCCCTATCACATCGTAAAACAACCTCAAATGACCATACATAGCTTTATTATAATCCCTATTGTCTGTCGTTATCATTCGCTACAACAACACGTTATCAGGCACCGGTCGAATTCGCGCGATCGGTAGGCATCGTGAAATTTTGCAAAAATATCAAAATCAGTTAAATACGCAACCACTTTCCAAATTACAATTATAATGTGCCTACTTCGTTCTTCAAAAATTCATACATTACATGCCAACATGCATTCCCATTTATCTAGCGTTTCAAACAATATCAAACAATTAGCACATTTTATTATAATATGATAAGAACGCACATTGCTACCCGACAATCAAACAATTATGAGTTACTATGCAACAAATATGTCTGCCTAGTTCTTCAAAAAATTCATATATGACATCCCACATTACAACTTATCAAGCGCTGCTATATAAAACTACTAGAAATACATGCATGCAGCAACTGTCGCCTATATTTTCCAAACATTGATTTAACATGAAGTATTAGTCATTGATCAACGCAGAACGCAGGCTCGCGTTTACGTTAGTGTTGCGTCAATATTTTTTTGTACAACTCGCTAAAAATAGTTGAAAGATTATTGCTTTTAACTATATAACAATGAGTTTCTGAAATATGTACTGTATAGGTATGTTGTTCTGCATTTTGTGAGCTTTGAAATGTAAAATTTAAAATCTGAGCATACACTCACGCAAAAAAATAGAGTACACATTACATACGTAAACACTCTAAAACTTCAGTACCAGGCTATTTGCCAAATTTAAACTGCACTTGGTGCATGCGTTAAACGCGAATAATTTCCCCACAATTGGGCACATATTATAACTAATGTAACGTCCACACGAGAAATAAAGTTTTGGAAGGGGAAAGATAGGTGTTTCGCACGATTTTGGAGGAAAATAAATCAGGTATGTGTACCGTCTATATAGGCTACGCAATGAAATGGATAAGCTTGTAAATTTATGTGGCAGTCTTGGTAACACATAGTTCGTTGCTATGGTAAGACATGCGAACGAAAGTCACTTTGAAATAGCGTGTTGCTTTGTCTAGTTGTATTGTTGTAAATGAAGCACGGTGACCCAATTTTTTTTAATCACTATTTTACTTAAAACATAACCTAGTGATAAGCAATATATTAAAAAATGTGGATAATACCATTTAAAAAACCCCGAAAAAATTCCGTTTTGTTCGATAATTTAATTAGCATTACAGATTTTTTTTTATTTTTGGTATATATTGAAAGACTTTTAATAATCGAGAGGTTTAGCAAAGACGACGCCGACGTCGAAGATAACATAAAAATGGCGTGATGTGCCTATTTATAGATGTACCACGCCATTTTCACGTCCTCTTTGGCGTCGCGGCGTCTTTGCTAAACCTCCCTAATGACATGTAGCACACTTTTTTAAACAAATTGGCATTTCTAATGACGTCTGCAATTGCTACGCAACCTGGTTATAAATCACGTACAATGGCGCGAGATGGCCATGTCATATCATAAAAGTCCTTAATTTACGTTAATATTCTAACAGAAACAAATGGTCAGGCAGGTTTGTAGTTATATAGGACGACGTTTTGATTTCACGATTGTGGTGTAGGGATTTGGTGTGGATTAATTTATCGAGCCATATTAAATGTAAGTTAGTTGGTTGATATAAGTTAAAAAAACTTATGTTCGTTGGTTTATATTAATTAAATAGAAAATTTCCTCAATATCTATTGGTCCCATGATGGCTGTGGCTATGTAATTTTATTCTAGTGGATACAATCCTTAGCAATCCTTAGTACAAAATGAATGATCATGCACTCCCAATTCTATTAATTGTACGAACAAAATGTGTTTTGTTCACTTTGTGCCCATGAAAAATAATTGTATAAGGGTTTTGTAGATGGAAATTTCGAGTGTAAATTTTATACATTTTTAGACCTATAACCAAAAGCAGTTGCGAAAAATGCAACTATAGGCCTTCTGGTGGGATCGAACCTGCGCTTGGTGTGATTGAGCCAATTGTTCGTGAAATAGCATGTTCGTGTAGTCATATTATCAGTAGAGACTAGACTGACGTTTACCGCAGACTACGAACATCAAACTTCAAATTGCACGAACAAAACATGTCAAATTAACAAATGGATAAGATTCTGCCGCAGTCTGTTCAGTTGTATGACGTCATTACGTGGGAAGAGAAAAAAAGTTGCTCACGAGCCGCCGAGGCGAGTATACTGTATATACAGAGCATAGTGTACATCTATAACTGAACAAAAAACAGCAAAATTTTATGCAAAAAAAGAAAAACCTCGAATCAAACAGGCAAATAGTTCACTTTTTATCCACCCAAATCATTTGGAAATTTGAAAAATTCGAAATGTTACAAATGTCACGCGTACATGATTGATACAAATTAGTAATGCTATTGGATAAGGATTTGTGTGACGTATTCCGGGCGTCTGTCCTCTAATAGATCATGGCTCTTGACCAATAAAAGCGCTTGAATTTTTAACGTTACGTCATTAATTGTTTAAAGTGCCTATGACACGAAATTTCACCCCAAAGGTTTATGGTTGCATTGTAAAGATCACTTAAAATGACTTAATAATTTCTTTTATACAATTTTGGTAACTTGCTCTCTTTTCAAGATATTCAACTTTGTTTCATATGCAATTATCACCGGTTTGACATCACATCACATAATAATTTTTAAGAAAAGTAGTTTTCTTGACGAATACGTATCTAAAAAACTTAAAAATTGACCTTGTATATGTATAAATTTCATAACCGGTAATTAACCCTCTGTATTTGTTTGTAAAAATATTTTATCGAGGTAAAATATTGCGTTTTCAAAATGTCATTATGCGATGTGATGTTACACCGGTAATATTTGCATATGAAACATAGTTGAATATGATGCTTGTGATGTTACTCTGAGTGCACATCCACACCGGGCGAGCTTGAAAAATATGCCCGGTCAGGACGGTTGGAGTAAGTGATATTTCGGAACAGAATTTAGTTCTTTCAATATCAATGTAATCTAGTAATATGGTGGCCGGGCATACTTTTCAAGCTCGCCCGGTGTGGATGTGCACTCAGAGTAGCATCACAAGCATTATATTCACCTGAGTACACAACACAAGCACAGAAAAAAAAGTTGAATATCTTGCCAAGGATACAATTAAGTTACCAAAATTCTATAAAAGAAATTATTAAGTGGCAGTCGCGCTAAGAGCGGTCCGATGACTTTGACTTCGGAAAATAGATTTCCTTTATTTTTTGTGTGTTGAAAGGCATTGGTATACAAGTGTCCAAAATAAATTTATTGTTTGAAAATTCTTTTTTATGGCTTCGCTAGACGCCGAAACTCATTTTACCCGTGCAGAGCTAATTTCAAGCAAAATCGAAGGTTGAATTTCGGTAAATTGTAGAGCTGCGCTGTGTCAAAACGCCTGACTATTTCCAAACTTCAACTAGATCAACAAGTTAAGATACAATTCAGGTTCCCTGTTCCAAAAAATAAGAGCATTTGAATAAATTATGAATAAACGACAGCAACTTGACGGCACACCGGTTTTTGCTTCTTGTTCGGTCTACAAAATTACACTAAAATCGAAGCCTGAGATCTCCAAATGGGGACCTAAAATTACGCTGAAATGTGTTTGGCTGTAATGATTTATACTTATTTTCAGAAGATCTGAAGAAAAACCTGCGGGTATCAATCTGTATTTGGCGCGAGTTAAGATTTTCTGGAGCCCATAATCAATGATTTTGCATAATTTATAGCTAATTAACATATTTCTTGAGAGGCGCTAAAAGTAAACAATTTCTTTCTGACTAACATATCTCAGATGAAAGAGACTACCACAGCTAGTAATACCCTTTTTGTAAATATAGTCGTAATGTTCTTTTCCTGACACGCTGAGAGAGCTTTGTTTTTTAATGTTATGTCACATTTATTCAGTCTGACCATATTCATAAATGTCACGAACTTGTATATTTCAAAAATATCAGTATCAGAATTCAGAAAGACCGATTATTCTTTCCTTGATTCGGTTGATGGATTTAGTTGATTGATTTAAAAAACTATAAGTATAATAGAACATTCCATGTGTTTCCATTGCCCCTATATAGGGCTAGAATTTTTATCAATATGTTCTATTTTTCGGTGGCGACGGCATATTAACAAAGTACGACACAAAAATGTACATTCGAATTTATGACCGACATATATCAGAATGTTATTTATGAAGTTTGAATTGAATTTACTCAGGGACGCCGGAACGATCATAAGGCAAAGGGGGGCGAACCCACAGCAAAGGACACTTCTCTAAAGCAAAACTTCGAAATCTTCCGAAATTTTTTTTTTATCAAAAAATTTCGGCGACCTTCCCCACCCCATCCCCCCCCCCGTCCCCAAAAAAATTTCGATCAGTGTACCATTTTAGGGGTCAAAAAATTTTTCCGGACATACCATAAGTGAAATATAAACTGTAAATTGTCTGAATCTCATAATTTTTGTACAAAAACCATCGTTCTAAATGTGATTTATCACGTATTTTTTTACAACTAAAAGGGCACTTCTGCCCCCCCCTGCCCCCCCTACCAAAAGGCAAGGGGGGCAGCCGCCCCCCCCCCTGCCCCCCCAGTTCCGGCGTCCCTGAATTTACTTAACGCGAAATAAATACTAAAATAGGAATTTTCTATGCTGGGTTAGTAAAAGAAAAAGCATAATTTTAATTGTATGTAATTTCGATGAATACTATAAAAAAAATTATACGCATTAATTGTTTATATAAATGAGCTAACATTTTTAACAAAAATATCAATTTTATAAGTAATCGAATTTCAATATTTTTCTTTGAAAAAAAATATATTCGTGAGCTCCATAGCTGAGAATAAATTTCAAAAGTTTGTGAATTAAAATTCACAAGACACAAGTTTGATATTTTTGTTAAATAACTCATCAGAATGCTTATAGTTTATTTTGTTACATCATGGCTAAAACAAACGTCGCTACTATCGTAATAAATGTGTAAATGTTAGCTAATTTATATAAACAATGCGTATAATTTTTTTTATAGTATTCATCGAAATTACATACAATTAAAATTATGCTTTTTCTTTCACTACAGTAACCCAGCATAGAAAATTCCTATTTTAGTATTTATTTCGCGTTAAGTAAAGTCAATTCAAACTTCATAAATAACATTCTGATATATGTCGGTCATAAATTCGAATGTACATTTTTGTGTCGTACTTTGTTAATATGCCGTCGCCACAGAAAAATAGAACATATTGATAAAAATTCTAGCCCTATATAGGGGCAATGGAAACGCATGGAATGTTCTATTATACTTATAGTTTTTTAAATCAATCAACTAAATCCATCAACCGAATCAAGGAAAGAATAATCGGTCTTTCTGAATTCTGATGCTGATATTTTTGAAATATACAAGTTCGTGACATTTATGAATATGGTCAGACTGAATAAATGTGACATAACATTAAAAAACAAAGCTCTCTCAGCGTGTCAGGAAAAGAACATTACGACTATATTTACAAAAAGGGTATTACTAGCTGTGGTAGTCTCTTTCATCTGAGATATGTTAGTCAGAAAGAAATTGTTTAATTTTAGCGCCTCTCAAGAAATATGTTAATTAATAGCTATAAATTATGCAAAAATCATTGATTATGGGCTCCAGAAAATCTTAACTCGCGCCAAATACAGATTGATACCCGCAGGTTTTTCTTCAGATCTTCTGAAAATAAGTATAAATCATTACAGCCAAACACATTTCAGCGTAATTTTAGGTCCCCATTTGGAGATCTCAAGCTTCGATTTTAGTGTAATTTTGTAGACCGAACAAGAAGCAAAAACCGGTGTGCCGTCAAGTCGCTGTCGTTTATTCACAATTTATTCAAATGCTCTTATTTTTTGGAACAGGGAACCTGAATTGTATCTTAACTTGTTGATCTAGTTGAAATTTGGAAATAGTCAGGCGTTTTTACACAGCGCGGCTCTACAATTTACCGAAATTCAACCTTCGATTTTGCTTGAAATTAGCTCTGCACGGGTAAAATGTGTTTCGGCGTCTAGCGAAGCCATAAAAAAGAATTTTTAAAAAATAAATTTATTTTGGACACTTGTATACCAATGCCTTTCAACGCACAAAAAATAAAGGAAATCTATTTTCCGAAGTCAAAGTCATCGGACCGCTCTTAGCGGGACTGCCACTTAAGTCATTTTAAATGATCTTTACAATTATTCGCTGAAGGCGAGGTGATTACCGGTGAATAAAAACCGGACAAAGTACGTCGACGTTTTTTATTCACGATAATCACCGAGCCTGAGGTGAACAATTGGTTTAGTATAATTTCATAGGTGATTATTTTGAAAACTACACATTTCTTCGTCATTTAATTAACAAAACGGCTTCGGCTGCCATTTTGAAAATCGCTTAGGTAATTATCGCGTTATAATCAATCAGTAGTGGCTTTCGGAAATTCTGAATTTATTCCAAAAATATTGAAAACAGAATTTTGTAGAATTTTCATGATTTCTCTTTTTTACTCCTGTTGATTAGCGCAAATTTCCCACCTTTTTTCATGTTAAGAAATGTTTGCCACAACGTGGGAAAACGCGTGAGCGCGTGAGCGCGCTCGCACAAAAAAAAGTGCTCCGCAAAAATTATAAATTTACTGATCAAAAAACCAAGCTGAAAGGGAAGTTTTACCTCATAGTTGTGGATAAAGGTGCGATCTTTCAAAATTTATAAGTTTGTTTGCGGATACAGTGTTTTATTAGTTTGTAATTTGTGTCCAGTTTGGTCTTGGTTTTCGTTTCTTGGCCAATTTGAGAAAAAAAGAGTCGTTGACATTGCGCACGCAAGCTCCTGCGTTACTTTGTGTATTGACGTGACTTAAATCTTCAACGGAATTTGCGCAGTTAAAGTTTCGTGGGAAATTTAAACAATTCGCACGTACATTGAGATATTATACGACACGGAATCAACTGAAAATGATTCTAAATCGACGTAGTAATAAAAGTATTGGAATTTTCAAACAACTTTCCATCTGGCTTCCTATTCTTGTTGTTGTTATTTGGCTCTGCACAAGATGTAAATCACTAATTATCAAGCTGAACGACGAAGAAGCTTCCAAAAGTGTTTTCATCAATTCTGAACTGACAACGTTACACGATAAACTCTGCTGTATCTGGACATCAACGCGGGACAATCATTTACGAAAATCCAGTTACCCGTGTAAACACCGATACGGTTTGGAATTTGATGTGAAACATAAGAGTCTCCATTTGGTCTTGTGCATCCTGCTTGCTGGCGATATCGCTCTCAATCCAGGTCCAATGATGACTACGCGTTTAGAAGATCTACCCGCGTTGCCGCGTCCGCAACTATTAGCGAACGATGCACATGCAAACTCTGAATCAACGCGAGGGTACATTTGTAGCAAGCGTAATGATTCTCAGCACGGACTCGATTGTCTTTATTTGAACTCGAGAAGTCTAAAAGCTTTCGTTAAGACAGACGACAACTGTTCCAAAATTTGTAAAATAAACATATTTCAACAATTGGTTTACTGCGGTGGTTATGACGTTGTCTGTGTTTGCGAAACCTGGCTCAACGACTGCATGCGTGCTCGACAGCGAACTGTTACCAGGTTACTCCATTTTTCGCAGAGACAGGGTTGGAAAGACGGGTGGAGGCGTGTTGGTTGCGGTAAGAGATACCATTCGTGCAAAACGTCGAACCGATCTGGAGGGAAATAACGTGGAACTAGTTGTAGTGGAACTTTTCAAAGCCAATCATCAATCTATCATATTGTACACTTTCTACCGCCCTCCTAGTTCTACTTTGGATTCTATACAACAACTCAACTCATCTCTTGACAACATTCCTGAGTCCATGTGCATCATTCTTATCGGGGACTTCAATCTGCCTGCCATTGACTGGTCACTAGATCACCCAAACCCAAACAATAATGGTGGCCTTTTGGAAACCAAGTTCTGCGATTTAGTTGGTGACCACTTTCTTGAACAATTAATATCTGGGTCCACGCATCGTGACGGCAACAAACTTGATTTGCTGCTCTGCAACTACACTGCAATAATAAAAAATGTAACATCATCTACCCCTGAACAGTTTGGTTTTCCTACTGACCACCACATCATAGAATTTGAAATCCAACAAAAGTTTGCTCGCGCTCAACCAATCAAGCGAATAATCTTTGACTATAGACAAGGGAATTTCGAAGAACTTCGGACTTCTCTATTGCAAGCAGGGTTCGATAGTGATGGCGTATTGACAGAGGAAATTGACCAGCACTGGACTCGTTGGAAAGAGTGGTTTCTCGCGTATGTGAACAAATTTATTCCTAAGAAAGTTGTTAAAGATACAAACTCGCCACCCTGGGTTGACGGAGAAGTAAGGCACTTACTACGAAAAAAATATGCTGCGTTGAAAAAGTACCGACAATCCAAAACTACAGCCCGTAAACAGAAACTCCGAACTCTGACTCAAACTATCAAATACGCAATGAGACAAAAACACAGTGACTATCTTGTGAAAATTAAGGATTCATTTCTCGATAATCCCAAGCTATTTTGGAGCTACCACAAGTCGACATGTCGTCATCGTGAAAGCAAAGTGTCGGAAATATCGTACAAAGGCGTAACGGCGAAAACTGCAGCCATTAAAGCTGAACTGTTCAACGCGTTCTTTCCTCTGTTTTTACCTCTCCTCGATCGAACATTGGTGAGGACACTATCAACAATTCACTTCCAATAAGAACGGAACAAAATCTATCTGACATCACAATTGGTGTAGAAGAAGTTGCCAACTGTTTGCATGGTCTGGATACATCGAAAGCAAGTGGCCCCGATGGTTTACCGTCCAGGCTATTGAAAGAGTGCGCCCAACAAATAGCACCAAGTCTATGTACCTTGTTCAACCATTCACTGCAATCTGGTCGAATGCCATTAGAATGGAAATCAGCGAACATCACTCCACTGCACAAGAAGCAGCGGAAAGAACCAGCAGAAAACTATCGTCCCATTTCTCTCCTTCCTATAGTCAGCAAAGTCTTGGAACGTTGCGTGTATTCCCAATTCTACGAACATGTCTCCTATCTCATCACTCCACATCAACACGGTTTTCTACGAAATCGTTCCTGCGTTACACAATTGCTCTCCGTGCTTCATTCCATAGGACAAAAACTTGATACGAACGAACAGACTGACATAGCATACCTCGACCTCGCGAAAGCCTTTGATTCCGTAGATCACTCCATTCTCCTTCAAAAACTCAAATGCTACGGTGTAACAGGAAGGCTGTTAAATTGGTTTGCTGATTACCTCAACAATCGTCGTCAGAGAGTCGTAATGGACGGTGCTACATCGCAATGGACCCCAGTTACATCCGGAGTGCCGCAAGGTAGTATCCTGGGTCCAATGTTGTTCGTTATTTTCATCAACGATGCTCCTGATGTCATCAACAACAAAGCAATTCCAGCACTATTTGCAGACGACACTAAGCTCTACAAGAACATAACATCAGTGAATGACTGCAACCAGTTGCAAGAAACTTTAACACACCTTGATACTTGGAGTCAGGATAACAACATTAAATTCAACGGGTCGAAGTGTAAAGTATTGTCGGTAACGCGCAAGAAGGCCCCAATTTCTTTTCCCTATCATCTCGGGTCGACAGAGCTGTCGAGAGTTGACGACGAAAAAGACCTTGGCGTAATCTTCTCCAGTAAACTACAGTGGAACTTACATATCAACGAAATGGTATCGAAAGCGAATAGGCAGCTAGGCGTGCTTAAGAGGACTTGCTACTCACTCACAGACATCAACATCCGACGTACACTGTATCTTTCGCTGGTGAAGTCGAAGCTCAGCTATGCAACACAAGTTTGGTCGCCTACTCACAACAGACAACTCAATGAAAGGATTGAAAGAGTTCAAAGAAGAGCCACAAAATGGATTCTAAGGACCGGGACTTGTGAAATGCCATACAAGCAACGGCTGTTGAAATTGGAACTCTTACCACTCTCTTACGATAGAGAGATGAAAGATCTCGTATTCTTCTTCAAGGCGTTGTACGGTTACGTCGATCTTAACATTAACAATTGCGTCTCTTTTATTCAACATGGACGTACTCGACTTAGCCAAGCTACTGGTGTAGTGCTTCAAACTCTTATGTGTAGAACTGCTACGTTTCAATCATCTTATTTCAACCGTATTGTCAAACCGTGGAACAATGTATGTCAAGATTTCAATCCAGATACATTCTCTAGCCCTATCTCTTTCAAAAACTTTCTTAAACGCAGCTATTTAGAACTTCTACACTCTGTATATGATGTTGACCTACCCTGTACTTGGTTCTCGGTGCGTGACTATCCCTGTCACAGAGAACAGCGAAAATAAATGTGTGTTTAATAGACCATCTTTGGGGCTATTTTCCAGTGCAGTCGCTTTGCCTGCGCGAGCGGAAAGGACTTTCATTTTTGTCCGCCTGAATGCTCGCGGACACGCCATGAAAGTAGAACTAATTTTTCACATGATAAAATCGCGCGTGCGGGGCGACTGCGGTGGGAAGTGGCCTTTAAGCGTCTGTGTGTAACCTGTCTGTGTGTGTAACCTGTCTCTGTATGTGGTTTGTCTGTGAGCGTGCGTATATGTATACTATGTGTAATATAAGTATATAACTGTACATATAATCATATAATTGGATATCAGTCGTCTGTTTGTCTACCATACATTGATGTTTGTATCAAGATTGAATATCAGACGTCTGTTTGTCTACCATACATTGGCCCGGCTTCACACAAAATCGAAAGAATTTTGAGGAATGAAGCAGGTATAAAGGTGTACCATTCCAGCGAAAACAAATTGTTTCGAGCTCTTTGCACACATAAGGACAATGTAAATGAATCTCAGAAACCTGGTGTGTACCGCATTCCTTGTGAATGTGGTCTGGTTTATATTGGTGAAACTGGTCGAAATCTCTCACTACGTCTTAAGGAACACAAGACGAATTGCGAGAAAGCCGAGCAAGATAAATCTGCTGTGGCTAAACATACTTGGACTTACGACCATCGTATAAAATGGGACGAAGCAACCATTCTGGCGATTGATAGTCACAAGTTCTCTCGCAAAATGAGGGAGTCAATTGAAATTGAGAAGCACAATACTATAGATCAGGAGGGAAAGCCACTAGATAGTACGTGGCGTGCTCTCTTTAATGTGCAAAATTAATTTCTCTTGTCTATGGATGCGCGCGCGTTAATTGGAATCACTTCACTACGTTTGGAATGACGTGGTTGATGTGCCGTTTAATTAAATTTCAAATGACGCGAGCCAACAGATCACGACACTTTTGTATATAAAAAGAGCGTGTGAATTAAACAAGTCACATATTATTAGCACTGATGAAGATCTGGGCTTACGGATCGAAAGCTTTGCAGTAATAAATTTACGTGGTGTTTCCACAAACAAAACCTATTATATTTTATCACCATGCAAACATACAAAGAACTTAAATTAAACATACCTTTTTAGAAGAAAAAAATATACCCAAGTATTTTTAACCTTTCCATCACATGCTCGCTGTCTCAATGTTTCCACCTTTTTTGGCGTTGTCTAGTTTTTCATGAAAAATGGAAATCGCATATTTAGTCCCACCTTTTTCGCGCTTACCACTTCGCTAACAAAACCCGCGAGAAAGGTTCGTTTTTTGAAATTGACCCGTTTAACGCCATTAGTTATACGCCACACATACTAGCCTTGCACAGTGATCAGAGAGCTATGGCGACTGTAACATGGTGATAGGGTTAAAAAAGTGTAGCCACGTTTCTGAGGGCCACAAGTTTTTCAGCCCATGGCTGTAATGTGTTTTTACCCTCGTGAAATAAAGTTTTAATAAATAAAAAGTAAATAAATGTGTACAGCCGTTACTCTCGACGAAGCGCGCGAGAGAACGTCTGTGAGTTGGATGCATAATCCTTGTTCAGGTCACGTGGATAGTTCCCACATTTGAGGACATTTTGGGGGACATTACTTTAAAATGTACCTTTTGAATAACCAGTTGTGTTTATATTTAATACCTTGTCTTTGTAAACAAATATACGCCAAGAACTGAGCTTGTACACCGGATTTGCCGGCAATGATCACCGTCCAGCATTGTTCGCACTCAAAACAAATCTCTTCATCGAGAAATATATGCGATATATTTCTGGTGTATCGTTTTTCAGATTGTATTTCAAGTCTTTCAAACATTTGTATGCCCCGAAGGAAATCTTGATTCTTGATCTGGTATTTTAAAATTTTTGTGTTGTTATTTTAAACGCATGCGAAATTATCAATTAACCAATGAAATAGCTTCATTTGTCATAAATTATTCAAATAAAGCACTGTCCAATCAGAGGCGGTCCCCAAATCTGGGAACTATCCACGTGACCTGAACCAGGATTATGCATCCAACTCACAGACGTTCTCTCGCGCACTTCGTCGAGAGTAACGGCTGTACACAAGCTATAAAATTGCAGCCGCAATCATTGTACGGCGGAAATTTGTTCATTATTTTGATGTTGATTAAGGAGTATATCTCACTTCGGAAGGAGAAATAATTCTCCCCTCGGAAAATATGTAGATTATTTGAAATTGACTAAAATTTCGAGCAGTTTTATACTGTCAACGGAGAGCTCATAACAACAACTGCAATACCTATAACCAATTAACAATCCAACTTAACAGCGGTTTATCTCGGTTTATTTATTATTTCCTATCAACCGTCATCATCTTTTGCACGGGCATCACTTAACCATCCGCCAAGTCGATCCTCTTAGACAACAACAGCACCTATAGAAAGGCCGAAATTCAGAGTGCCAACAATAAAAGAATTAGTGGTTGGAAGAAATCATTTACTGAAAACCCCTTCTAACCTCTGGGAAATTCGACTTTAAAATATTACTTATCAAACGATGAGGATAATTTTATTTAACCATGCACTGACGTATTTGTTCAATTAATATTTTCTTCTAAGTATACTGTACTCCATATTGTTTTAAACAGTGCGGTTGTTCTAATTAAAAAGGTATGTTTTCTCACGTACGTTGTGGCAAAACATTTCATACCATAAAAATAAGGTGGTAAATTTGTGCTAATGAACCGGAATAGAAAAGTTAAATCCTGAAAGTTCTACAAAATTCTGTTTTCAATTTTCGGAATTTAGTGAAAATCAGAATTGCCGAAAGGTACCACTGACCATAATCACCTCCTCTCCTCGGCAACCAAACAGCGTGGAAAATTGTCAATAATCACTTATGTAATTATACTGATATATAAAAAAGTCCATAACCTTATTAAATCGACTGGCGTTGTTGGAAGTTTTCAAATGGTTTTACAAACAGTTTCCGCTTTTAGAAGTTGTTCCGTTTTTCATGTAATCCCCCGTCCCCCGATTCTATAGGTTTTAACACAAAGCTTAATTGTGTCTCTATTTTACAATAGTCATTTCAAGGGCGAAGGTAGTAATCAGTGATATACTTATAAACGTCAAAGTTCTGGAGATTATGGAGAGGTTTTCGATCAAATCCATCGCGCTAAAATGGTTCTACTTCTGGTCGGTAGGGAGTGCGATTATCTACACAGAATTCAGTAATATATACATGAAACAACTTGGATTAAGTCCGCGGCAGATTGGACTAACAAATCTTATGGGAGTTCCGAATTTATTCATGCCATTATGTCTATTCATTGGCGACAAATTTCGGGTGCGAAAACTTTTGGTTACTATTGGATTAGTTTTTCTGGTCGTATGTTATATTCTGCCGCTGCTTCCTTTAATAGTTTCGCCACCAGTGATTTTTTGCTTAACATCAAACAAGTCGATAGCGTTTACATCTGGACATTCTATCAATAGTTCAGTGATTTCACGAAATTCGTTTTCTACCAATAATTTAACCTACAAATTAGGCGACTCGGAGCAAGGAACAACACCCACAAACACAGAGGCAAGTTATTCTGAAAGTGTTCCCTGGCTTAGCAAATTGTTTATCTTGATGCTTGTCACCAGAACTGCATATGAATTTCCGCATCGAATGCTTGCATCTCTAGGAGATTTGGCGACCATTACGTACCTTAAAGAGCGCAGAGCAAATTACGGTGCATATTATATGTGGAGCCATATTGGTGGTGGCATTTCGATATTCACTGTCGCTATGTTGGCATGGTTTATCAAAATTAACATTTGTGGGACAGAAAACTATGGTTATTTTACAATGTATATCGTTGCAGGCTGTATGGCCCTACTTTCAATGCTTTCTCTGCCGTGGTTTCGGTATGAATACAACGAAAATAAAACTATTAACTGGTCAGAAGTAAAATCAGCATTATGTAATGCTCATTTCGCACTCATGTTTTGCATTCTTTTTTGTACCGGAATTCCTATAGCCTTTCAGACATTCTGGGAGTTTTGGTATTTAGACGGATTGTCTGCAAGTCCTTTATTATTGGGTATAGCTGGATTAGTTCGTCGGCCAATGCTGGCAATATGGATGCTGTTCTCTTGCGAGTTGCTGAAAAGAATTGGTGAGCTGAAGACTATATGTATCGCTTTCTTTCTGTTTGCTCTGTCCTTTTTGGCTCTGTCCTTCACACGGGTACCATGGTTTGTGCTGGCTATCGACTTGTTTCAGACGGCTGCTTATGGACTGGCATATTGTAGCTTCACAGTGCATTTTTCAAAAGCAGGTTCAAAAACATGTTCAGGAGTTATTCGTGGTAAGTCTTTCTTTACCTCATTTCCAACTAGCGTCGAATTTACCGGCATAGGGTAATTGTATGTAAAATTCCCTCACATATAGAAATTAGAGGGAAACGGCAACGAAAATTTGTTTGCCTAATCAGTTGTTGAGATTAAAATGTTGAGATTATTTACATATTCTTTTTGCGAATTCTTCCAAACTATCTTAATTTTTGCAATATTTGAAACTAAAATCGTCTTGTTATATTTAACAAAATTAATATCAAACATTTTCCGTGTTGATATGCAGTTATATCAACACGAGTGGAAATTGGGATAATGAGAAATTGTGTGGAAACACGACGCCCGAAGGGCAGAGTGTTTTCACACAATTTCGAGTTTTCCCAATTTTCCGCCTCTTGTAAACACGGAAATTTTCTTATACTCGGGCTTTTGACATTGCTATATTATAAAAATATATAAATCATTTTTTCCGTATTGATATATAATTATATCAACACACGTGGAAGTTGGGAAAACTCGAAATTGTATGAAAACACTCCGCCTTTCGGGCGTCGTGTTTCCATACAATTTCTCGTTTTCCCTGATTCCACTCGTGTTGATATAACTGTATATCAACACGGAAAATGTTTTATATTTGTTAAATAAAGAAAGAAATTTTCCGATGTTTCCGTGTTGACTTTGAGTTATATCAACATGGCTATTAGCCAGTCAGCGTTCAGAATTTACAAATGCTATATTATAAAACTAGAAGTTACTATCGCAAGGAAAATGCTGCCTCACTCCCAATGGATCAAAGAAGGCAGCATACACAATTTGCTAAATAAGGAGGTGTTTTATGACCCCGCTTTGCTAAGACACGATGTGCATGAGGCAAGATGATTTATATCTATTTCAATAAGTCATGGTGCACACTGAGTAACAAAAAACTTAATTATGTCTGACAGATAGCAACAGTTACCTGTAAACTGAAAGGTTGTTCAAGCAGCAATAATAATTTTCTCGAACTACAAGATCTGCTCTACAACATTTGAGTTCTGTTAACCAGCATTTGAGTTCTGTTAACCACCATCCATCATGTAAACAGCCCCTGAGACGCCTGTTCAGGAGGTAGGAAAAGTGCAATTTGAACACCAAAACCTTGCACAAAGTCAAAGGTCAGCTAAATATCCTAATTATACTTTCTTGGCATGGACGATTTTGTATGAATACCTTCATTGCTTATAACTTCTTGCTTTTGTATGTATAATTATAATACTGTCAGTGGTGAATCTAGTCGTAGCAACAGGTCATGCTATGGTTTTCAATGATTTGCATTGCAGGTCTATTAGTATAGCATGACCGGTAATTGCCATGGCTAACTTGCCACTCAATACTGCATAATAATGCCATATGTATAAACAATAATAATACTGGAATGAATCATTGGACTTGTAGAATTTACTAATAATTTCATATATAGAAATAATTAGTCAGTTTTTGTCCCAATTATCGTTTTAATGGCATGTTCAAGGCTACCCCTATTGCAGAACAACTGAACAATCTGCTGATGGGGAGACAAAATCTATTTGCTCACATTTTTGTTTAATACGTCAGCTTCAGATGACACCATTCATTTGTAATGACTATATAATAAGAAAGAAATTGTGAGCATTATCGAAAAATATAGTATACCCTGACATTTGGCGACACTGTCACTGTGTGACACAGGATTATATTTCACATTGTGCTAACAGTGGATATATCTCAGAGGTATATTTTTACAGTCTGACCGTCATACCTTGTAACTGCATGCTGGTAAGTTAATAATGCCGAAGTGGCCCCTAAATAAATGCAAAGAGGATTTAAGTTTAAATATATTTCATTTGTTAATGTACCATATTCATCACAAACTGTATATAACGCGGAAAGTTGTGTATGCACGTCTTTATAATAAACAGGCTTTATATTACACAGACTTAACAAAAAATATATAATTCGCTGTGAATTGAGCTTATTAAATTAAAAGGAAAGAAAAAATCGAGCAAATTGACATACCTCTAAAGGATCTCCCTTTCTCACAAAACTTGAATATGATAAGGGATGGACCATTAGAAAAGTGATGAGGGGCGGGGGACAAAAGCAACAATAAAAATCGAGCAGGGGAAACAGAAAAAAATTCGTGCACCAGAAAAGTTTGAAAAAAAAAATTCGTACAGAGACTTTTCAATAGGGAAAATTATAAGTTGACAGGGCCTATCAGAAGTATAGTGTAAGGGTGGCCACAAAATTTGGAAAATAGATGAAAAATAATTTGGAACTTTTTATGATATAAGTAATGGTGTGAGAAAAAAATTTTCTAAACCTAAATGTAGCGGATATTGGTGCAAAAAAAGCGTTTTAATCATGTTTTAAGAAGTCTTTTTCAGGGAAAATGTCTTTTAAACCTTAACTAAACTGATGTTAGTCCGAAAAAAGTTTTTTGACCCCTTTTTTTTCTTTGTCCATGAGAAAGAATTTTGAAGTCCTGTGAAAAAAATTTTGGTGCAAAAAAAGCATTTTAATCATGTTTTAAGAAGATTTTTTCAGGGAAAATGTGTTTTAAACCTTTTTTGTCCAGAGGAATTTTGGAGTCCTGAAAAAAAATTTTCACCTCCTCCCCTCCCCCGCTCGCCAACAATTTTTGGAGAAAAGATAATGTTCGAGCAAGGGATTAAAAAAAAATATTCGACACAGCAAAACATTTTGAAAAAATAATCGTGCACGTTGGAACTGGACCACCTCCCCACATCATTTTTCTATTGGTCCGTCCCTAAGGCTAAGGAAATATGTCTTCGCCTCGCTCCTTACCTTGTGTTCATATGCCACAAAGCTGAACAAAGCTGCAGATCGAAATATTTTTTAAACGCCATTCTTGGCTACCTTCTTCGCAGGCCATACATCCCATATGAGTATGCCCGTTCGCAGGTTGAAATTTGAAATCTGAGACGAAGCTGCTGCTTTCCGTTCGTTTCCCACCAATTTTATTTTTTTGAAAGGCCTGCGAAGGAGGTAGCATTCTCGGTACGTCGTTCGCAGATCGCTGAACAAAGTATTCGGCACTCGTCGATTTGCTATCGTAAACTCCTGGGGTATGATAATGCTCCAATGTAAATTCCTTACTGCAGCGTCATAATATGACGTCACAACTGCCTACACAAAATCAAGATACGCTTCAGTTGGCGGGAAATTCAAATGCACTATAACACATCGTCAAGAATAGGAGGCTGCCTTCAGCAGCAATTAGGTCTATAGTTAAATGACGTCACAACTAATGTAGACATCTTAAAAATAAAACAAGACGCTCTACGGGGAGTTAACTCGCTGGGGCTATACAAATACACTCATTACTGTACATGATACATTACTCAACTTTCTCTGTAGTTGTCTAACCTGTACATTTTTTGTCCGCCTGACTGCCCGCGGACACACCATGAAAGTTGAACTACATTCAACTTCCTTGGTGTGTGCTCGCGCGACTGATTTTTCACGTGATTAAAATTGGTCGCTCCGCCCGCGCGGGCAAAGCGACTGCAATGGAAAATGGCCTTCTCCGAGCTAAGAGGAAAAGTCGAATACGAGCGCTTAACACAGTACTATAAAAATGCGCTAGGTCCTACAAGTAAAGTTATATTTAGTACGCTACATCCTTCAAGACTGTCAGCCGCCAGTTGGTCCGTACAAAATAAAATATTTTGGGGCTTTTGGGCTCAAAATACTATCAAAAGGAAGAGAGAAGTAAGACGAATCCACTGGTATGCAGCCGAAAAAGCGAAAACCAATGATACCAAAGTTATCAAGGATCAAACGAACTGCATTTTTTTATAATTAGTTTGATAATTTTTAGCGATTTGTCAACAATACAATTTCGCTTGGCTTTCAAAGACAAAGGCCATAAATCGCTAGAATACTGTTGTTTAGTAATACATTTGACATCTGTAATTAGTACACGCTGACGCTGAATCGAACGGTGGTATTTTCATCCTTATTGCGCCATTAGGCATCATAAATACACTATGAAACGTACTGCGAGTGATTTGTCAACAATTTGTACTGCGAGCGATTTGTCAACAACACAATTTTGCTTGATGTTCAAGGGCCATAAATCGCTAGAATACTGGTGTTTAGTAATACATTTAACATCCGTGATCGAGTACAATTTCTTACTCTGAATCGAACGGTGGTATTTTTATCCTTATTGCGCCATTAGGCATTAAGCCTGGACCTGGTTTCATTAAATCGTAATTATCGCAAGAACCGCATCGCAAGCGTCGCAACGATTTTAAAAACGCGAAATGTAATTTTTAATAAAAACTGCGATTACTCCGAGTTTTGCGATAACTATGTCTACGTTCCGCGATTATTGCGATGATTACGATTTAATGGAAACCAGGCTTTACAAATACAAGGACAAACGTACTGCGAGTGATTTGTCAACAATACGTACTGCGAGCGATTTGTCAACAATACAATTCCGCTTGATTTTCAAAGAGCATAAATCGCTAGAATACTGGTGTTTAATAACACACTTGACATCCGTAATTAAGTACAATTTCTTACGCTGAATCGAACGGTGTCGTATTCTTCTCAAAATATAAAGCAGTGCAGCCAAACGTAACTTGTGAGTTGCGATTTGCGAAGGTTGCTGCTTCCATCACAATTTTGGTAAAATTCCTTGTAAAATTGTTCAATTTTTTTCAATTTTCCCGAATTTCGAATTCCTCAAAACGCAAGATTATTTATGGATAATATGGGTAAAAATTAGCAGGAGTCTTATGGATAATTTGGGTAAAAATTGGCAGCTCATTAATATTCTACTTTGTGGCTATCGACGACGATTGGAGATCCACTATTGCTGATCCACTAAGGGCCTGTTCATATGGGCAAAAGTTATCCCAGTTAACCAGAGAACTTTTCGACTAGCCAAATACTTTGTTGTGTTCATATGGAGAAATATTATCCCACTTACCGGGAAAAGTTTCCGGCTGTGACGTAGCACTGAACATCAATTGAATTGAAAAGTTGCTGACACGACAAAAAGTTATCCCGCTAACCGGGAAAGTTGTGTTCATATCGGGAAAACATTATCCCGGTCACCGAGATGTCGCCTGTCAACAAGCGAGATCTCGGTACACGGGAAATGTTTTCGTCTCATATGAACGCAATGTAACTTTTCATATTATTTTCGTAACAAGGCGAGATCTCGCTCGTAAACTTGTCGAAAAGTTTTCTCGCTAACCGGGATAATTTCTGCCCATATGAACAGGCCCTAAAAATGCGCGCCGAAACCTATACTCGACACAGCGAGTAAATATGTTAACAGCGGAATGTGTAATTATATACTAGAAGTTACTATCGCAAGGAAAATGCTGCCTTATCCCGCCTTCCATCATATAAGTACGTAAAGCACCCCTAAGACACCTGTCCAGGAGGTAGGAAAATAGCAATTTGAATACGAAAACACCTTGCATTATTATTCGACCACCTTTAATGTTAACCAGTAATGGTGAAAAATGCTGAGCTCAGCGAAAGTATTGTCTCTTCGCCCAAACCTGCCCAAACTTGCTTTGCACATCATTTTGACATCAATACATCATGCATGTATTATGACGTCTTGCATACATTATGACGTCATGCATCCATCTGCCCAATTCCTCCACATTGCATTCCCAAGCACTGCCCAGCTCCCCCACATATTATAGTAATCACGTTACGTTCCTCAAAAATCCGGGTCGAACAGCCGATATATTACTACTTATCTTGCTGTGTTTGATTTGTATATTTATGTATTTCCAGGACTGCAAGAGGCGGTGTTTGCTTTGGGTACTGAAAGTGGTTCAGCTCTTTTGGGAGTTCTTTTCAACGCTTTGGGAACACGGACGACATTACTTATTTACTCAATGAATTCAGGAGTCATTCTTATTATTTTACTTATGTATATTCGCTTTTCAAAACGTGCCGATGATTATGAAAAACTGCCTGATCAAGATACTGATGAAGAATGATATAAATTCGTGTTTGTAGCGCGGTTAATATCGATATAATGATATAAGGATATTGACATCAGGCGTCGATTACTCATATGGATTAAAATAGTCAGATATTTTGTGGTTTTTATAGATCGAAATCTCGAGTGTAAATTTTTTCCCATCATTTTGGATTTAACCAGGCAGAAGCAGCCGCGTAAAAACGCAACTACAGGCCCTCTGGAGGGAGTCGAGCCTGTCGCCATGTGATTCCGGTGCAGCGCTCTAACCAAACGAGGTACAGAGTCCAATTTGTCAAGCTCTAACGGCACGTTTTTCAAAAATTTACACTCGAGATTTCCATCAACATAAGCCTTCAGCATTTATTTCTATTAAGTAATATGTCCACTATATGTATTACTATATGCTCTATATACATTGGATATCAGGCATATAGGACGAGAGTGTGTATATTTATATATAAGCAAACATTGTTTATTCAAGGTAGCTGTAGTAACATTGGAAGAAGGTACTTACTTGACGACACTTACTTGAAGGTGCCATTAAAACAACAATTGGGACAAAAATTGACTTAATATTTCTATATATAAAATTGGTATTAAATATTACTTGTCCAATGACTCATTCAAGTATTATTATCGTTTATATATAATATGATTTTGTACAGTATTCAGTGGCAAACTAGCTACCATGGCAACCGTTCATATCACGCCAATAAACCTGCATATATATTTGAATAATGCAAATCATTAAAAACTTGCATATAGCTTGACCTGTTGGTATGGCTAGCTTCACCACTGACAGTGTTATAATCATACATACTGATACAAAAGCAAGAAATTATAAGCATGGAAGATGTTCACATAAAACTGCCCATGCCAAGAAAGTAGAATTAGAACATTTAGCTGACCTTCGACCTTGTGCAAGGTGTTTGATATTCAAATTGCACTTGTGAACAGATTGCACTACCTCGTGAACAGATTGGATTAGATTAGATTAGATTAGATAATTTTTATTTAGACACGGTGGTTTTATCAGAAATAATGATGATAGAATTAATAAATATGATGGAAGGTGGGATGATTTTTGCTGTATTGGAATAAGTCACTGGGCTAAACAAAAGTTCAAATCCTGGTTAACAAAACTCAAATATTGTAGAGAAGATCTTGTAGTTCAAGAAGATTATTATTGCCGCTGAAACAACCTGTCGTTTACAGTTAATTTTAATCTATCTCTAAAAAATTATGAAGTTTTTGCTAAAGTTGTGCAGCGTTACTTATTTCAATACACTGAAGGCGGGATGCCTTATTGCTCGTATTGGCAAAGCGGGGTCATATAAACAGCCTCATATTCAGCAAATTGCACATGCTGCCTTTGACCCTTGGAGGTGAGGCAGCACTTTCCTCGCGACAAACGTTTGCTTTGAGTCTGTACATTTCTTCTTCTATATTATTTCCTCATATATTAATTTAATGAATATAGCCATCTGGCTTGTTATACTGATTAAAACATTTGGTTAGACTTGAATTGAATTGAATTGATTTAATGACTACTGACTTTGTAACCCAAAAAGGTTAAATTACACCAGTATTACATAAATTAAGAGGATAAGTTAAAATTACATAATAATTACATATTTAAGATTATTTACATTTCTAAAAACTTATTTACTGTTAATCTTTAATATACTTTGAAGTAAAAACGAATTCTTAAAACGTTTGGTTCTGCAAACATAATTATGATATTTACATATCGGTCTTAGATCATATCCAGATAAAACTATTTGTGGTAAAAGATCTTTGAGATTTTCACTGTCAATATTCTTCTCAAAGAAATGTTCGCATAACTTTTCTCGGCGATCTCTCAGTGACGTGATGTTAGTCGTGATCAGCGCTTCGTGGTACTTTTGCGATGGAAGGATGATTTTCAACGCGCGTTTTTGTATTTTTTCAATATCGTCACATAAATATTGTTGGATATTGTAATGCCAGATCTGGCATGCGTTCTCTAAAACAGGCCTAATAATGGTAGTATATACAGTAATTAACGTGTCAATAGACTCGTTGGACCTTTTTAGCAGTCTTAGCATATAGAGCCTCTTGCTAGCTTTTTTAACTATGTTGTTTATATGTTCATTCCACTTCATGTTATCTTGAACTGTGAGGCCAAGGATACGGGCGGATTTCTCTCGTTCAATATTAACTTTATCGACTGTTAAAGGGGAAAAGCAATGCTTCTTTTTTGCAAAATCAATAACCAGTTCTTTGCATTTTCCAATGTTTAATTTCATATTATTACTCGTAGTCCAATTATTGATGTAATTAACCAGTTCTTGAAGGTTGCTGTTACAATCTGGGCCAATGGTTTCGGTAGTGGTGGTGTCGTCAACGTATTTCCATCGGTCTTTCCAATCGGCGAGGAGATCATTTATCATGATTAGGAAGAGGATTGGGCCTAAAACAGTTCCCTGGGGTACTCCACCGTTGAGGATTTGCCATTCTGACACACAATGGGGCATTCTGACCCGTTGGCTTCGTTGAGTAAGAAAACTTCTTATCCAGTTTGTTATTAATGATGGAACGTCCATATCAGATAATTTACTGAGGAGGATGTTATGATCAATATGATCAAAAGCTTTGGAGAAGTCTAATAAAAAAATTCTCACAGCGTTTTTCGGCACATCAGTTTCGTTTAATAAGTAATGGAGAAGGCTCAATAATGCATGTGTTGTTGAAGAGTTTTTTAGAGATCCAAATTGCCGTTTATCGATCTTCTCACCAATCAAATCCATCAGCCAGTCTGCGACAAAACGTTCACACGTTTTTGACAAAGTGGCAGTAAGCGAGATGGGACGCAAGTCTTTAGTAATGTCCTTCAGCACCTTATTTTTAGGTACAGGGATGACGTCGGCTTTTTTCCATACCGCGGGAACAGACGCCTGTTGAAGGGAGGCGTTGAAGATTGAAGTAACAGGGGAAGACAGCAGGGGCGCATAATCTTTTAGGACCCAATTCGGTATTTCATCTGGGCCAGCCGCTTTCGAGGATGATATTGAAGATAATTTATAATAAATGTCTTCTTCCCTAATAATATACTCGGTTGGAATTGTAGTACAATCGCTTTGTAATTGGCTATCGGGGAAAGGGATAGGCCTAAGGGGAAGAATATCTCGAGTAACGGATACGAAAGC